AAAGCATATTTACAGGTGAAAATAGATGAAGATTTACAGCCTTATTTGTGTATAAGATAACCATATCTAGAGAATGAGTATTGGGATATGGTATCAAATGCCCTTCGGATTAAGCATAGCACCAAAATGCCTTACTGAAATCTTAAAGTTCTGTCTAAGAGAAGAAGGTCTTCAAGATCTCGTAGAGTTATATATTGATGATGGTGTGGTAGAAGAAAAATATGTTGAATTAAGACAGAAATGTTTAGCGAAAAATCATTTCACATTAAAACAACCAGAGAGGCTAGGAAAAGCGAGAGTATTAGGTATCCAAATGAATGATGATACTGAAGGTTCTTGGAGGCGGAAAGGCAAAACACCTATATTGAAAAGAAATGAAAAGGGTTCAGTCACAAAGCAGCAAATAAGCTCGTGGGTAGGAGAGTTGGTAGCCCAATTATTACGATTGCAGCGGTGGCTTCGTAGCACGTGTGCCATGTTGACGCGTATAGTATCCATGGATGTCACAGAGACAAATGGCGAAGTGTCTCCATACATCATTGACATATGTAATAAGATACAACAGGACTTAGAGCACAAAGGTGATCCTGTTCAAGGGTTATGGACTCTGAGACCTGAACAGAAATGGATATTGTACGTCGATGCAAGCAAGATAGCTTATGGTGCTTGCTTGTATATAGGGCAGGTGCGTGCAGAAGATGGATCTTGGATAAGACCCAAGGATGATCACCGACATATCAATGTAGCTGAACTTGATGCAGTACTGAAGGGATTAGTACTAGTAACAATGTATTTAAAAGCGAGCAATATGGCAGGTAGGAGGAAAGAAGTGACCATCAGAACTGATAATAAAAGCGTGGCAGCATGGCTTGCAAGGAAGCAATCTTCTCATTGGGTGCCAGTAAAAGGAATCAGCAGGACAGCTGTTGAGTCACGCTTACAGTACTATGAAGATACGGTTAAATATAATCAATTAGATGTCAAAGTTGAATGGATACCATCAGAGGAGAACCTAGCTGATGAATTGTCAAGGGTACCATCATACATGTTAAGACAAGAACTTACTTCTCGATCGTTGTTTAACACGGGAAATGAAAAAGACGAAGTAGTGGCAGTAGGTGATCCACATGCAGTAGATCCTCTTACACCGAATGAGTTGTTCGATCAGAGACATTGGATAAGTACATTAGCCCAAACAGATGATGGGAAAGTAATTGTACCAGAAGATCAAGCAGATAAATTCACGACCGAATTGCATAATCATGAAGGTGCTACAGGATTGTATGAGCGGTTGAAACCCTGGGTAAATATGAAAAATCTGAAACAACATTGTAAACATGCAGTAGCAACATGTGAGGCCTGTCAGAAGGGAAAAACATTCGCAGGAGATAGGCAACAGTGGCATTCTTCAATTATGAAACGCAATACAGAGGTTCCTTTCGCAAAATTACATGCAGATATAGTAGGCCCATATAGATCTTCCAATGGAGAGTCTCTGATGTATGCTGTAACCATCATAGATAGTGCAACAGGATATGCAGTGGCTAAACCTACAAAACACTGTCCAACCAGTAATGATATTGTAGAGACATTCCAATATCTTACTGAGGTGTTTTGCACTTCACCGTTAGTAGTGCACACTGATAATGGATCGGTGTTTATCTCGGATATTTTTTCGAAATACTTGAGGTCAATTAAAGCGATTCATGAGCGGTCAGCAGTGTTCGCTAGTTGGTCCAATGGTAAAGTAGAAAGACTACACCGTGACATCAACGCTTATATACGGTGCGCCAATAGAAGTGTTAATTTGACGTACAACACATTTAGAGAATTGGTCGAGACAGCAGTCGTACAGCACAATACGATCCCAAGGAGGAATGGGATAAGTCCACATAATAAGGTCTTCCGATTCAAACCTGAGTTAGAGCTGTTAAAGCCGATTGAGTTACGAGCAGGTTATGAAGACTTACTAGGGTCGGACAACAATCCGAATGACCTGCCTGAGACGCTCACCAAAGATACTGAAGTCTTATGCAGAAAGCATGTTCAAGGGCAAAAATACGAACCTGTATGGGAGAAAGTAGTTGTACTCCGTCGAGTGGCGTTGAATATGTACGAAGTTGCTGCAAAAGACAAGAAAGGTCAGTGGTATGCGAGGATAGAGCATACTAAGAACCTCAAACGTCTATCACCGCCAGCTGAACAATGTGAATCACGTAGTGATGATGAACAACACAATGACCACAAACAAGACCAAATTACTTCTGATAACCCGGAGACTGTATCACAGGTTCGCGTGCAACAGCATGTGCAAGAACAGCACGATCCGGTAGGTGCGCAAGATTCGCCAAGTCAGTCACAAACCTTGCGACCTTTGAATGGATTTGAAGTACGACGTTCTGCCAGACTACGAGCCCTTCAAAACAAGAAAGGGGGCATGTGATGTATCCACACAATTGTTGTCTCCTTCCTTCCCACCTTAGCTCACACAATTTGTCTCTACATTTATTCCGCTGTAGTTAGTATTGTTATCTACCTCTTTTGGTACTCTTGAGTTCCCAAGTACACAACAATGTTATATACCCATTACACGCCAATATATATATATCATATAAGCAATAAATAATGAGTTAGTGATAGTGTACAGTGTACACAGATGAGTCCGCGTTGAGCCGTAGCCATCTGGGTCAAGTTCGTTTGGTTCTAATCTCTACTCTCCCCTCCGTATCGCGTTCCTCAGGGCTGGGAAGATTGAACATTCAACGTTAAATCAATCATCGGTCAATGGGCGATATGTAGGTCCTGGCATTCCTCGGTATCGTCTGAATGGTGCCTGCAGGTGTTTCGATTTTGCGCTCCCTGCAACACTGTTGCAGTTTTGATAGCGGTCGTTCATGGAAACGTCGATTAATATCTGCCGAATGGTCTTCGTTGGATACCATTCGGAGACTCTTCCTCGGAGACTCTTCCTCGGAGACTCTCCGAGGATGGGGCATTGCATGGTCCCCCTCCGAGACGACAAGGCGTTGGTCCTTCTTGGTGAGTTCACCTTCTGAAAGTCGTTGGTTGAAACCTTTTATAGGTGGTTGGAATCGCAACTTCAACTTCTATAACGACGTTTGGCGGCCGACCGACGGCGGTCGCACGTGGACGGAAGTCATTCCTGTCGATCCGAACTGATCATTCCTACCGCGCTGTGATTTTGCCAGTGCTATTCTGCACGGCAGTAGGTGAGTAGTTACTACGCCGTATGTAATACAGCCTGTATTATACAGGCTCATAGTGTTTCAGAATTGTTGTTTGGAGAGGGCTTGGTATGAACAATATCCACCTCGATGACGCTTGGTGCTCTGCCGACTCCGGTGGAAGTTGGCAAAGCCTGTCTGTGTGCACCCCATGGGAACCCCGATGGGCCATGGGATTCACCACCATCAACGGTGAGTTTCCTTCCAATGTGTATTGTTGAGAGTCCGCCTGGACCAGGCGTACTAGGCGGCCTGGTACGGGAGGCGGCCAGTCGATGACCAAGGTCCGTGGCACTACTATGACGGGTTTTCTTTCTGACGTGTGGAGGTCAGACGATGGCGGATTGCCGTGGGAAGAGGTAGGCCTGACAGGCTCTAGTGCACAGCGAATTGATGGTATTCAGATAACGCTAGACGGAGACTTCGGTCCCCGAGGAGGAATGGCTGTCGTTCAGTACAATCCGTGGGGTAAGTTAGTTTTATGTGGTGGTTAAATAACAAGCACTCAAGGTGGTGAGAAGAATCGACATTAGATAGATGCAATGGTTTCTCCGTATAGACAGCGTTGAGTCGAGCAATGATGTCGATCAGTGCAGTCCCGACGTGCGGAATCCGCATTGCGGATTAGTCGAGATGAAGGATCCTCATGGAGTAAGACTTCCCAGCGAGTCATGCGGATGTGGGAAATGCGTCGTAAGACTATTTTGAGCAGTTCTCCCATCACTGGGTGTTTCCCAAGATCGGCTCCCCGAGCCCATACCAAGACGTTGGCAAGCTAGATGTTTTGCTCGATGTGTGGCATTACATTCTGACCGTTGTTCGCTGGTTGGTGGAGAACTGCGATCAGAAAAACGTGTGGATGATGCATGGCTGTGTACTGGTGCTACTGACGCGGTGACGTTCTTGTCGATTATGCTATGACAACTACGTGATATTTAGTTGCTAGCACAAAATGCGGAGTGGCGCATAACATGGACAATAACTAGGAAGCTTGTAAGATGAACACGAACGCTTCATCAATAATTGTTTGGATATTTTATATGCTGTTTACTATCGTGAATGGTTGTTTATACAATCCGAAAATACAATGATGGAATGGGAGAATTGTTGAATGAGGAAATTGTTAGCAGCTTTTCGATCGGAATGACTCCGCACTGGTTTCAATAACATCGTTATTATAAGAAGGCAGAACCTTGTAAGCTTGATTGAAGTTATCCGATGTGGAAAATATTCACCATGAGCTCAGCTAAGGATTCCTTCACCCGAGAGAGAATATTGTGAGCTACGTGAGATGGCACAGCGATCGATGATGATGCACCAGCATCTCCCAGCACGATTCATAAT